GTAGAACTTTTGGCAATAATGGAACATTCCACATCTGCACAGTCCAGTAGATTATCTGCTAGACACAAAGTGCGACTGAGCTCTTGAAATGTGGTTAAAATAAAGAGCAACTGAATTTTTCATGTTATTTAATTTTAATTAACCTAAATCTAAATTGCTACATGTGACCTGTGGCTGTCATATTAGACACTGCAGCTCCAGATTATAAATGACTCTTTGAGGTGGTTGATATAAACCTATTCTCAAGAAACAATTTCTAAATGAACTTTAAAAATCCGGCACCTATTACAATAAACTTGAGATCTCGACCCTGGTCTCACAGTGACTCCATACAGGTACTCTGTGATTCCGCCTAAAATACCACCACATCTTACCACATGTTCCCTGTAGCAGTGTTCATGTCTATACTCTACTCAACAACAATCCCATACCTATCACAAAGCATGTTTCATCTAGTCGCTACTTTCTCTTTGCCTCCTCTTAATCAAACTGACAAAACTAAAGCACATTCCAAATACATCAAGCAGAGCTGCTACAATGAAAAGTAGACAGCGGAGAAGCATGCCTTTGCACTACCTTTCATGTCTAAAGACATGGTTTCAAATATAAATCAAACACTAAAGCTTGGTAGTTGCATCCAAAACCCCAGGTGGATATGCATTCTAGTCATAAAACTCTTATAATATGACAAGCTGAAAAACATAGCAGATGGGAACAATGGGCAAATCTGTTCAAGTAAGGCCCACAACCACAAAAAGCCTAGGTCATGGACAATGAAAGTTTAATAAATGCTCCATAAGTCTGGTCTTTCATTATTTTCGTAAATCAGTTCAAAAGGAAAGACACTGTATTACTAAAAATTAATTAGGGAAACTTAGAAATGGGAAAAAGAAGAGAATGGGGCAGGGAGCAGGGTGTGATAGTATATTTAAATATATTCATTTCTTTCTGTTCCCTACTAGAAATCTAAGAAATTCAAGTTATAAGCAGTAAGACTTAAACTGAGGAAAACAGTTTTGTTTCCTTTTCTCATACTCGTTTTTCCTCAAAGCAAAACTAGGCATATTTGCAAAATCATGTAAAATCATTAAAGAGGTTAATTCCACTAAACTCATTCTGAAAGGATTGGACTTCTAAACATTGACAAACTTGAAATGCAGGCTTTTAAACTTCAGCTATTCACACCATAGTCAAAATTCAACTTTATAGGGGAGAAATAAATCAGAATAAGGTTAAGTTCAGCTTGTAGTGGAAGTTATTTTCCTTATAATTAACTAACACCATCTTTTCACAAGCCATTAAATAGTTACTCTTCATCGTACAGTCCTCTTGTCCATTATCCCTAGGCAGCCAAGACTGAAATAGTTTTGTAAGTGAGTAAACTTTCTTATACTGCAGTTTAAAAACTGTCACTACGCTATTTATTTAGGCTCATGAGTACCATGCATATTAAGCATGCTTTGCTATTATTAAGATTTATGCATACTTTTTTAGTCTTAAGCCAACTGTCTTCTCAACAATTAGAAACAATCATAGTAAATTCACTGGATGGAAAATAAAAGTGCAACAAGAAATAATCCATTTGATTCTAACTACTTAACCCTTATCTATTTGAATACCAATATCTTTCCTTAAAATGGTCCTGTGAGAAATACAAGCATTACATCTACCATCTTTGTTCCTTCTGTATGAAAATGGAAACAGGGAGCATACAAAATCTTTCCCATGTTTAAAAGTTTATTATACCTAACACAATTTCAAAACGTTTTGAGAGAGTGACAATCTAGCTCAACAACTTTTAAAATGTGTAATCAGAAAAAGAGAGAAGAGTATCAGAAAAATAGCAGACACTGTTGTGGTACAACTGTAAGAACAAAATATGTATCTAAGTATAATTTTAAGTTAATAATATAAGTATGGTAATAAATCTAGTAAAAATAATTTTAAGTTAAGAATTAAGTACCAAAGTATACTCTCTCTGGTAAGTTAGTAAATTAACTAACTTAATTTACTTACTCTCTTACTCTCTGGGAAGAGAGTAAATTAAGACCATACAAGCATCAAAATATATTTTCTCAAGTATAAGGCAAGACCATGTTTTAGGTGAGGAAGGAGTTGTTTTTCAGGAAGCCTGTCTAAAAATTTAAGAAGCAGACACTAATCAAATTACAAAGTTAAGAACAAAGCCGTATTATTCACCTTAGGCAAGCCCTATACAACACTTTATCCTAGGCATACATATTGCAGAAAAAAAAGGAATGACATGAAAACCATACATTCACAGTTGAAAATTAATAACCACAATTTTATTTTCTACTAAGGTAATAACTATGAAACCCAGGTAGATAATCGCAATTATTCCCTATGTCAGTACTTTTAGAATCTATTAAATATAAAGAGCTACATGAGACCATAAAAATAATCCATTCTGTAACACCTGATTTTGCAGATTCAAAAATTATTTTCCCCCAGTTAGTAGAATGGCCAAAACTGTGACTCATAGTACAGTGCTCTTTCCAAGTTTCTAATTTTGTCAAATCTTAAGATATCATTTTTAAAATACATTTGTTTTCAATAGCAGCTGGGATATATAACAGTTCGGATACCCGAAAAATCACAAGCAAGTGCTATATCAAGAAGAAGAGAATATTGAGTTAATACGTCAAGAAATAAAAAGAGCTTTCTTCAAAGAGGCAGCAATTTCGTAACAATGCTATCAACAGGATGCATTTCTCCCCATTAAAAAGGTTATTACTCATTTTGATAGTTTCTGTTTAGTCTTTGGGGAACATAAGTTAATACTAATGCAAGCTGTCACAGCACAGCAAGCTCTGATGTCTCCACACCATTCAGAAGTTAAAAATACAATTCTACTAGGGACAAAGAATGTGGAAAAGAGCTAGGCTCCAATTACTATCAGAAGGACTGTAAGATGCTTACTCTCATTAATTTTTATTCCCATTTTAAAGATATACAAGCCAATAAAAACTTATCTGAAAACTGTTAACCATTTTGAGCAATACAAACAGCACATAAATTTTTAATAACTATTTCCTGAAAAAGTAGGATCTACTTGGCATACTCTAATATAAAGAATTTAGACTGGCAATAATGATTCTTAACAAAAACATTAACAAGGCTTCCTTCCTACACTTCATTTAGCTCTGCACATGCTTAGTCAACATTTCTAGAGTTGCTCATGTGCACAAACAACTAAAAGACAAATAGAAACAAGCATCAGGTTTACTGTTTCACTCATAAAAACGGTGATTATTATTAAGTCACATCTTTTTTTTTTACCATAAAATTCAAAAGATTAGAATGAGAAATATGTACTACTAATGTGCTACATTAAAAAAACCAGAAGTCCAACTGGAACTAATGTCCATGATTATACTCCATACACTGCTGACTGAAAAATGTCACAGTTGTTACAAAAATTATTGTTTAAAGTTTCCATTAAAAATAATTAGGGAAAGAAAATTAGAAATCTGTGAACAGAAGCCTAAATAATGTGTTTCACAGAGAAACAAATAGTTAAATGGTGCAACCTATAAAGCTTTATATTTCTTGACTCTGGCCATTCCCCCTCAGACAGAATTTCACCTACAATATCAATCATAATGGCTACTCTTAAAAGACAACTGAAGAGCTTTTTTTAAAAAAACATTATTCTTTATTCTTTTTAAATTTAACCTTCATATTATAGTGACCCACAGGCTATAAATGAATTGATTCTAATAAAATTTATATTAACTATTCAATGTTTGTAAAAGGGGCAAAAAGTAGCTCAAATGAAAGTTCATCACTAAGATCAAGTCTTAAAGGTAGACATATGAAAAGCCTGAGACCTTTCTTATATCCCATGTCAAAATGCAAACAAAATCTCAGAATGAGCAGAAAACATGAATATTAAATTTCATTTATTTAATTATGGCTGGGAGACGTAGACAATAGTATACTGGTCAATACAGTTATCAGGTTGTTAGGACATCATTCTTCCTTAAAAGAGCAATACAAAAAGACAAAATGAACTTGACAAAAATTCTATGTTGAAGCACGAAACCTAGCCAACCCAAGTACTTACTCGTCAAGACTTCTTCTATATGTGGGTAAAGGCAAAAAGCTATTAAAACCTTAGCAACAAAACTTCCTCCAGACATTAAACAGGCGCTTTACTAATAAGACTACAAAAGAAAAGTATATGTAATAATTAGAAGAAAGTGTCTTAACCAGATAACTGTAAAAGGATCTTTAAACAGGATCTAACACAGTACTTTGTGAAAGGAGGTTCACAAAATAAATGACAGCGTTGCAATTTATACACAGAATAGAGTTTAGTTTTTATATTTCTAAGTGAAAACACCTGAGTTAGACAATTTTGAAAGGAAAAGGTAGTAACTTCATCTGCTTACAAAAGCGGGGTGGGGGGTGTGAAGGAAATTTATACTAGTTAATTGTTTAAGTCATCAGCACTTCCAAACGGCATAAGCTTTTTTCTAGCATGTTACACTTGCAACTTTAAGGCTATGTCACCAGAAAAAGTGGGTGGTCATCTTGAAAGTATTACCAATGCTCCACATTTTCAAACCTGAGAGATTTCCGGACATAAGGTCACATATTGTATAATCCCATTTATATGAATTTCTAGAATAGGCAAATGCATAGAGACAGTAAATAGATTAGTAGCTGCCTGGAACTAACTGTAGGGAAAAAGAAATGGGGAATGACTGTTCGGGACACACAGTTTCTTTTAGGGGTGATGAAAATATTCTAAAATTATATAGTGGTGGCGATTATACAACTCTGTAAATGTACTAACCCATCAGACTGTATGCTTTCCAAGCATGAAATTTATGGTATATGAATTGAATTTCAATAAAACAATTATTTAAAAGTTAAATTTAGATTTTTAAAAAATCGGATAGAATTCATAATGTCAAGGTATACTATAATAGATATCAGTCAGAACTTTCCAGCTGTTTAAACGACTTTTGTACCTTGGCAAGGCGGCTCATCTGATCTTCTGAGACAGTGCTACTTGTTCTGCCAGGAGTTTTTGTGGGTTCTGATCCATCTGCTTCTACATTAGGCCAGACTTTCAAGTCATGCATCCCTTGGCGAAACATGCTAGGGAAAAAGAGAATGTTCCGGGTAGAAGTAAATTAATATGGTTCATTACAGGAAATTTTAAATTCCTAAAAATAAAGAGAATTCTACACATGGAAATGTTTATCTCCACTGCCAAGCTTTTAGCCCCAGTGGAATGTAAAGCAATTAACCAAGCAACTAAAATCCATGTCACACTGTTTTGCACATGCCATTTTTTTCTCCTCCAAGCAGTCAGAACTATGACAGAGAATTCTACACAACTGGAAGGAGAGAAGGATTAGAAATGAGCACACACATTTCATCACTTTGGAGAAGATCTAAGGAATAGCAGAGATCAAATTCCTATCCAATGGAAGAATGTCACATTTACAATGACTAAAATCAAAATTTTAAAAATTACATAGCTGTTTTCTTTAAATGACAACATAGTAGACTATACAGTCAAACTGCCTGTACTTGAATCACAGCTGTGTATTACCCACATAACCTTGGGTAAACTACTTAACCTCTCTGTACCTCAGGACTTGTATCCCACAAAGTTATTAGAAAAAGTAAATCAGTACAAGTAAAAGGTATTTAGAATAGTGACTGGCATACCGTAAGTATTCAATAAATGTTAGCTATTACTAGTCCTTTTCCTGTACAGATTGCTTTTTCTTTCTTTTCCATAAAAGGCATGTTCTAAAAGTGAATACAATAGTAGATTCATGTGAAAACATTTCCCATGTCTATAAATCAGAAATTTAGCATATAGCCAGAAGATTGGTTATCCTGCTTCACAGTGAAAGAACATATAACCTTTGTCATGCTTTCTTCAAAAAGCTACCCGGAAGATATAAAGATGAAACAAACTCATAAAGAGCTTTAGACAACTATGTGTTGTAATTATGCTGCTGCTAAGTTTCCATGTTTTTTTCTAATGGGGAGGTTAAAGATGTTCTCCTGTTCATGTGTTTTCTTTTTTAAAAATATCTTCAAACAAGAACTTTCAAACATAAAGTCCACTCAAACAGCATCTACTCAAAGCTCAATAAGAAAGTTATTTCTACTTTTAGTAATAAAAAGACTATAGAAATTGCAATAGAAAGAAAAAGACTAGGAGTGTGTTTAGGTGAAAAGGCAAGTCTAAAGCATTTCATACACTTTCACACTTAATACTTTAAAAAAAACAAAGAAGGTAAAGCTTAGGCATGGTGGCTCACACCTGTAATCCCGGCACTGTGAGAGGCTGAGGCAGGCAGACCACTTGAGCTCAAGAATTTGAAACCAGGCTGGGCAACATGGTACAACTCCATCCCTCCACAAAAAGAAAAAAACAAAACAAAAAAAAAAAAAAACACTAAAATTAGCTGGGTGCAGTAGCACATGCCTGAAGTTTTTGAGGGGCTGAGATGGGAGGATCGCTTGAGCCTGGGAGGACGAGGCTACTATAGTGAGCCATGTTTGCACCACTGTACTCCAGCCTGGTGACAAACTGAGACCCTGCCTCAAAAGAAAAAAAAATCATCTACTTGACTGCTAAAGGTTAATATAAATTTTTTTCAAATCATTATTATAATGTTCTGGCTAATAAAAAATGTCTTCCTAGGTTTTCCTAAGGTAATAAAGATTTTCACTAAACATTATATAATGTATGTAAGTAATGATGCCATAAACATTTAGATAGGGAACTATAAAAGATAGCTACAAACTCATGAGCACAGTAAGATTAAGGACCATTATCTGTTATAAGGTCTCTAAAGCTGGCAATAAAACAGGTAATTCCCGTAACTGTATTTGCAAAAGCTTACCTTACGGGCCCATACAAAATGCACTGACTGGTTGTGATGAATCATAATTCTCAGTATTTATCATGTTAAACATCAAAAGAAAGTTACAGTACAAAAACTACACATATACATGACTCTTATAAAGTTAATTTCCTTTCTCTTTCAACTGAGATATAGATTCAACATTAAGCAGACCTGCTTAGAGCAGTCTCTAAGGAACTATGTACAGTGAGATGATAATATCACTTTAAATAAATATTCTTAAATGTAGCTTCAGAAATAGCAGAAGGCTTTTCTTCCTTCTCTCCACCTTCCCATCCCCCAGTGAATACTTTGGCTGGCTGAACTTAACTAAATCAAAAATAAGCACATTTGGCAAGAAGTCAGTTTACTAAATGATTTAGGTGCCTTGGGATGGATCTGGAGAAGAGATATAAGGATAGGGGATGTGGAGGGTACAGGTGATGCCAAGTGACTCAAATGAGCAAGTGAACATAATACTTTCTTTTGACGCTAATGGAACTTTGCAGAGAGTTACACAGCGTCCAGGTGGCAAGCCAGAAGATGCTCAAAGCATCGTGTCCACTTGGGAAATTAAGCCAAACAGGCAAGACAGAAGAAACAGCACAGCAGGATCTCCTTCTGACTCCAGCAGAGACCCCAGCAACAGCTGCTGTTGATATTCCAGCTTGCAGTGCCAAGCCACTACAGCAGCAACTGCCTTGACTTCCAGGATTCACATTTAGAAAAAACAACTGCAAGAGAAATCTGCAGCTTGCCTGTGGTTCTTTGCCAGTTCAATCCATTCTGTAGCTACTTAGAAATTTCACAAGCTAGGCTTTCAAATTAAGGACGATAAATTATTCTAGCCTTATCCCTAACAAATAAGTCTTTCAACTGTTAATCAGACTATTCTCCAATAAGTTCTGCATCACACTGACTCAAGTAAACAAGACAGATACTAGCAAGAGCTGACAGTCACAAGATTACCAATACTATAATGTTAGATGTCTTGAGGATCACTTTTTGTTTTTTTCTGAGAGGGAGTCTTGATGTGCCGCCCAAGCTGGAAGGCAGTGGTTTGATCTCAGCTCACTGCAACCTCCACCTCCCTGGTTAAAGCAATTTCCCTGCATCAGCCTCACAGTAGCTGGGATTAAAGGCACATGCCACCACACCCGGCTACATTTTTTTGTATTTTCAGTAGAGGCAAGGTTTCACCATGTTGGCCACACTGGTCTTGAACTCATGACTTCAGGCAATCTGTCTGCCTTGACCTCCAAAAGTGCTGGGATTACAGGCATGAGCTAACAGGCCTGGCCCTTGAGGATCACCTTTAACAGCTACTAAGTACATATCACAACCCTTTAGGGGAAAAGGCTAAGGACAGTTGGTGTTATTTCATTGCATAAGAAACATGTGAGGAGTGTTACTGCTCTTTTAGAATTTGTCTAGCAGGCATTCCAATTTTTGCCAGAAAGCCTCCCCACTCCACCAAAAAAAAAAAAAGAGAAGCATCTGAGGAAACTATGGTTTAAGGCAGTGTTTCCCTAAGTCATGAGAATGGTAGTGGCATATAGCATGGTTTTTGAGGACAGGTGGAAAAACATCTGCACATGCTTCCTGCTGAGACAACTCAGATTGCCCTGTCTCCCTGAATGGCAGCACCATGTAGGGAAGTAGCTGTGAACCAGCAGCAGAAGGAGATGTCAGCACTCTGCTGTACACCAGGAAAGCACAAGGGGATGTCAGCACTCTGCTGTACACCAGAAAAGCACAAGGGAATGTCAGCATTCTGCCGTAGCACCAGGAAAGCACAAGGGGATGTCAGCACTCTGCTGTACACCAGGAAAGCACAAGGGGATGTCAGCACTCTGCTGTACACCAGGAAAGCACAAGGAGATGTCAGCACTCTACTGTACACCAGGAAAGCACAAGGGGATGTCAGCACTCTGCTGTACACCAGGAAAACACAAGGAGATGTCAGCACTCTGCTGTACACCAGGAAAACACAAGGAGATGTCAGGACTCTGCTGTAGCACCAGGAACATCCTGAACATCATCTTTCACAATCCAAAACTGCACAAGAAGACCCGCAGCTGCTTAGGACTGGGGAATGCCTGGATTTTCTCCACTGTGAGGCAGCCCACCCACAGGGCAAGCTGCAGGACAGAGAGAGAAAAAAAAAAGAATTGTTTTGATTTCATAGGGTTTCTTAGAATTCCTTCTCTGAGGTGAAGGTCAGTACAAGCGCCAGCACAGGGGGAATAGGATTTGGTGATTAAGTCTTCTTGCATTCCACCCCCTCAAAATATCTAGACCTATATTAAAAGCTTATGTTAGCTATGTTTGGATAACTGCCCTACAACTATATAGAAGTTGCACTGATCAAAAATGAAAATGATACAAAGACTGATCCTCCCCTTAAGCTGAAAGTGAGCTGAATATCCTGTGTATATCTGGTGATGGAAAACTACTCTAATTAAAGGACTACTCTAATTAAAGGACTTTTTGCAGACATTGTATGCATATTTTGCAAATCAAATAAATTTCATATCATTTGTATTGATTAGGTATTCTCTTGCTTCAATTTCTAAAATTTAATAGCATAGTCATTATTATATTTAGTCTTACTATTACCCACCAGTGTAAATACTAGTTTTCCATGTACAGCAGGGATATCAAGTTTTTCTTTTAAAATAACTGGAAGTTCAAAAAATGAAACCTGGGTTAAATAAAAATATCAAGTAAAGAACAAAAGGCCAGGCATGGTGGCTTATGCCTGTAAACCCAGCACTCTGGGAGGCCGAAATAAGCAGATCACCTGAGGTCAGGAGTTCAAGACCAGGTTGGCTAATGTGGTGAAATCCTGCCTCTATTAAAAATATAAAAATTAGCTGGGCGTGGTGGCAGGCACTTGTAATCTCAGCTTCTTGGGAGGCTGAGGCAGGAGAATCACTTAAATCTGGGAGGTGGAGGTTGCAGTGAGCTGAGATCACACCACAGCACTGCAGCCTGGGAGACAGAGTGAGACTCCATCTCAAATGAAAAAGAACAATATACTTAGTAAAGAGATATGAATGGAATTCTTTTTTTTTTTTTTCTTTTTTGAGACAGAGTCTCACTCTGTAGGCCAGGCTGGAGTGCGGTGACATGATCTTGGCTCGCCGTAGCCTCCACCTCCTGGGTCACTGTTCAAGCAATTCTCAGCTTCCCAAGTAGCTGGGATTACAGGCACACACTACCATGCCCAGCTAATTTTTTTATTTTTAGTGTAGAGGGGGTTTCATCATGTTGGCCAGGCTGGTCTTGAATTCCTGACCTCGTGGATCTGCCTGCCTCAGCCTCTCAAAGTGCTGGAATTACAGGCCTGAGCCACCCGGCCAGAGATGAATGGAATTCTAAAAGTGATAAGTAAATGACTCAAGATGTTGAAATCAAGCTCTGAGATAATTTCACACAACCAGCGCTTCTAACAGGTTTCATTTACATCGGGCATCTGATGTGTTTGGGATGTGAAGGAGTAAGATGACCTATTTTCCAGTTAAGAAAAAAGAGATGACTTTCCAAGATTCAAAGTCTTATTTTAGTTAATGGCAGAAAACAAATTTAAGTAACCACTCACTTATTGCTACTGCTCCCTTTGTGGAAATCCTCGGAGTTTAATGACTTTTTAAAGTAGAACAAGTGCTACTGATTTGTCTTTAGGCACACTGCCAGCTTGGTTTGGATGGGAGGTAAAGCAATTTTCCTTTCACTGGGATATACAGGAAATTACAAATAAAGCAGGGTACCAAGGGAAAGAGTAAAGAAAGCGGAACACATGAATGCAAGTATAAGGTATATACTTATATATACAGACTACTATCACAAAGGTCAATTCAATGTTTCTCAAAAGGTTGTACATAGTCTCCCTTTCACAGAATAACTCAGGATGCTTGTTTAAAATGCTGATTCTTGGGCCCCACCACAGATACACTGAATTAGTGAGAACCTAGGAAGATGTTTTTCTCATAGGCTTCCTAGATGATTCTTAAACACATTACTACTGATTTAACATAGTACTTTTTAAAAAATGTGCCAAAAGCAAAACAGAACCAAAAATCAATCTGAGACTTTATTTGGATTTAGGCAGGTCATTTCACTGCAATTCTGTGGAAATTCCAATTGTCCCACACCTACATCCTAGTCAGAAAATCCCCTAAAACTAGACCCTAAAGTCATCTAAAATGCATAAATACTAACACAGGTGTTTTTATGAGGGAACCTCCAGTTGATATGCCACAAGGTAAACCACTTGTGATGAATCTGGGAGTAAAAATCAAGAGGAATGTCTGGTTATTTCTCAAAAACATTTCGTCACTAAAAAGGGCTGTACATTTTTTTTTCTTCTCTGTTGCAAAACAAGCCCCTCCCTAGCAAAGAAGAGTAAGTAGCAAACACTCTGTAAAAGGAACAATACTGATTTAGTAATATGTCCATTCTGCTGTAACATTCTATTTTATCAAAAAGTATATTTTAAAACTGAAGATTACCATATTTCAGACTATATCTAAATTACGTTTCCTGTATGGATTTTAATAACAAATATCCCTTTAATAGCAACATTAAACTAAAATACCTAGGTATTAGTAAGCAACCAAGCTATTCCAAATGGGATTACATCTAGATTTCACTCATGAGTTCAGAAGCCTTCCTTACACATTCTATTCCTGGATAAAACAATTGAATATTATAAAGGCATCAGTTCTCTCTTATTAACATATATAATTCAATGAGATTTGCTAACAAAATAACAGTTTTTTAATTGAGAAAATATTAAAATTTATCTGCCAAAACAAACCTGGAAATATTTTAAAAGAAAGACTAATAAAAATTATCTATATCTAATATTTAAACATTTTATAATTCTATCCTAACTGACAAAACAGCCCAGAAATGAGCTCATTATGGTATTTATTCAATTCATAAATATATAATATTTATCAGGCCCATTAAATGTATGTAGTAATATAACAATCATAAACTACTCAATTAAGTAGATACTATTGTTTCTTTAATTCAACAGATGAAGACACTGAGGCATAAGATTAAATAATTTGCCCAAGGATACACAGGTACTAAGCAAAGAAGTGAAGATTTGAAGCCAGAAAACCTACAATTGCTTTCCTAACCACTGTGGCACTATACACTATCATGCCTCTCTTAGACTTCAACACATGATGCATTGGGTATATAAGGATGCTATTTGGAAACAGCTGGGTAAGATGGCTTATTTATTAAGTATTGTTGAGACAAATACACAAACCATTTGTTTTTGTTTTCTCTAAAAAGCTATTCTCAATATATCACTCCTCTCACAAAAGTAATTTTAGATGAATCAAAGGTTTTAATGCAAAGGAATAAAAGCATAACAGAAGAAAGCATTTTAAAGAATCTTAAATGGGAACTTTCTAAAACATTAAATTCACAACCCAAAAACTAAAAACTGATAGATTCAAGATAATAATTTAAAATCCAGGAAGAGCAAACAAATGCATACTAATTCGAAAGAACAAACCAAACAGGAAAAGCAATATTTATAATATAACCCACAAAGGGCTAATTGCATTAATCTACAAAGATTCTTTATATATCAATAAGAAAATGACAATTCAAAAAAAAATGCAAAGAATTTTATGGTATGTGAATTATATCTCAATTTCTAAAAAAGGACAAAGTACATCAAAAGGCAATTCATGGAAACATAAACATGAATAGTGAACAAACACACCAAAATAAGATCCTGCTCATACTTAACAATGTAAAAATTAAGTAACATTTTTTAACTTTAAAGCAAACAAAAATTAAGACAGTTGTAATATTGAGACAGATTAAGATCTATACCACTTCACAATGAAGGAAACCAGAACTTCTTTCAGAGATTCCAGGTTTGGAACAGGCCTGGAAAATAAGCCTGGAAAACTTGTCTACCAGAAATCAAAGAAGCTACCAGTCATTACTAGCATACTGTCAAAAGAGCATGGGGTCCACTTGAAGGGACTCCTACCGACCAAAAAGTAAAGACAGCAGTGGACTAAAACATACCTCAAAATGTTTAAGTCCAATAATTCATGACAAAACTTCAAAACAAAATGTGCAAAAGCCATCAATCACCCCTTTGCAAGTTACTAGGGCACAAACTCATTAGTCTAAAACTTGGTAAAGGGAAAGAAAGTTAAACATTTACCTGCCTTTCCTATATGAACTAACTAAATACATGATGAGGGCCAAGTTCTTTAGCGAAAAATTCCAATTAGTAAATGCAGAGTAATAATAGAATATTACAAATTCTCTTAAGATAGACTGAGCCCTCTGTCCCAGGAAAAAAAGGATCTAGAGAAAATATCCTTTGGGATTACGAGATTTTTTATTTTTACAATAAACAACTAGTATTTGTAAATGTTTCAAAAACTAAAAAATCTTTTTTTTTTTTTTTTTTGAGATGGTCTCGCTCAGACGCTTAGGCTGGAGTGCAATGGCACATTCTTGGTTCACTGCAACCTCCACTTCTCAGGTTCAAGGGATTCTCTAGCCTCGGCCTCCAGAGTAGCTGGGATTACAGGTGGGCACCACCACATATGGCTAATTTTTTTGTATTTTTAGTAGAGATGGGGGTTTAACCATGTTGGTCAGGCTAGACTCAAAACTCCTGACCACAGGTGATCCACCCACTTAAGCCTCCCAAGGTGCTGGGATTATAGGCATGACCCACCACACCCAGCCTGAATTATCTTTTCTATTACAATCATTACCATCATTAGCAAATGAAAGCTTTTTTAAATCCTGTTTTTCAACCTTTCTGTCAATATTATAAAAAGCAGATAAAACCTGTAACAAAGCAGTTATAGTACATGTCAAAGTCATTTCTCCCTAAATGCAAGGTTCTATTTCCCAATGACTTCTATTTTCTACTAGAAATTGCATTGCCAATCACCAACAATAGAGCAATATAAACTGTATTTCTTAGTCTATCTGCATATCCTATAGGAAATAAGTGTTAAATTCAGTGTAAGGAATGATCAAATCATCTGTACCTAACTGGTTTTCACTGGAGTCTGGGCATAAACTATTAAAGCCTTTCCTCATTCTGAAAAAGAAAAGGATCAGAAAGCTGCTACACTCCTACAGGTGAGAACAATACAATGCTTACCCATATTTTCCAAAAAGTGAAACCGTCGTTCCTCCTACAGGCACCGCTTTTCCGGGTCCATAAACATCCCATATGGTGAGGGCCACCTGGGCATTCCTGGGCAGGTCAGGGTATTTTACTGGTAGTTTTAGCCATTCATTCCAGCTATGGAAATAAAGTCAACATAAATGTATATACATACACATACACATATATCTTTCTTTTAAATTAACAAACCACACAAAAAGTTTTGGCCAGAGGAAAAGGTTTCAAAGTGTTAAGTTAATACTCTGTAAGATATTATGGCAGTCACCTCAATTTTGCTAAAGACAACTTTCCATTTTAAATAATAGAAGACATAATTGTTTTAATAGAACTCATGAAAAAGAGCTGTTAAATCCTTTAATCAAGAAAATCAGCTGGGCACAGTGGCTCACACCTGTAATCCCAAAACTTTGGGAGGCCTAGGTGGGCAGATCACGAGGACAGGAATTCAAGACCAGCCTGGTCAATACAATTAAACCCTGTCTCTACTAAAAATACAAAAATTAGCCAGGGGGTCATGGCAGACACCTGTAGTCCCAGCTACTTGGGAGGCTGAGGCAGGAGAATCGCATGAACCCAGGAGGCGGAGGTTGCAGTGAGCAAAGATTGCACCATTGCACTCCTGCCTAAGTGGTTAAGCGAGACAGTCTAAAAAAAAAAAAAAAAAAAAAAAAAAAAAATCAAGAAACTCAGACAACATCAAGAGAATACAATGGTGAAAAAAACCTGGGAAAACATTTCAACCTGTTAGAACTTTTTAAACAAACTGTGATTTTCTTTAACCATTCTTCAAAACCCAATTTTACATTGTGAAGATAAAATAATCAAAATTACTCATACTCAAAAGCACTTCTGAGAATGATCAATCAGGCAAAAAACAACCAAAACAAACCTCCTAGTAGAAAACACCTTTATCACATGAAGTTACCACACTGCTCAAGACAGACTTGTGACTACTTCTTACATGAGAATTTTTTGTTCCTCAAATTATTTCATTAATACTGATAATATTAAGCTATTAGTGCCTTATGCCTTCAATGCCCATCTATATGCATTCTCTCACTAAGAAATGTTTGTTTATGATAATATAGTTAATGACAGCACAGCTTTTTTTAACCCTCTATACATTTATGTAAATTTTCTTATACATTTAAATTTCACATTGTATTCATGTAATAATTTCAATCCTCTTCAAGAGCAGCTGGCTTTTAAATTCCGAAAGAATACTGTGTTGACAATATAAAAACTAATATCTAGCAGACACAAAGAATTCTATTTCTCTGTTTACTCAAAATTATTCTGTTCATTCAAAGTTATTATCTAAGGGACATATCCTAGCCTATGATAAATACATCTGTATTGCTAAAACATTTAACAAAATTTCCAGATACTTAAACAAAAAAATCACTTACATACACCAAATAGAGATGGCTATCAATTTAAGAAAAAGAGCTATTAAATACTTTTCTTCTATGAAATTAAAAAAAAAAAAATTGCATGCTTAAGAAAGCCAGTATCTACTACAGATAGGCTCAAACAACTAAATGAAATTATTTAATTACTAGCCACATGGTAGAGCAGGCTAAAAAGAAAAGCACTAAGCAGTGCCATCTTTTGCCAGGGAATAAACCATGGAGGTTAACTAAAGACAGCAATAAGCGATAATATCTAAAATTGTTTGTTTGGATAATATTGTGAAATTTCTTATCCTGTAATCTGTCCTTTAATGACTAGGAGACAATACCAGTGACCAACTAATTATTTGTCTCAAACCTTTTGCTATCCAACAGCAGGCAACAACACCTCTTTAAATCAAAGTAACTGCACTTAATTGGTTCTATATACTAGGCTTCTGCAGAAGGGTTCTTTTGGAGAAAAAAAAAAAAAAAAAGATCCTTCAGCTAAAAAGTTTGAAAGCTGCTTTAGATATTCTAGAAGTTATAGAAAAAATCTAGTCAGACACAAAAAAGGTATATATTTTGGACACCAGTTTGTTCTCTCCCTCTTCACACATTCATCCATACCCCACCCCCTAACCCTCATTAACCTTAAGATTACATTCATCTGGCAACAATCAAAACATGACAAGATTGCAAAGCCTAAATCTGGATCACCCAATCCCCACCATGTACCTCCATCACGCATACCATTGTGCTAGCACTCAAACTGATGCAAATATTTCTAAATCCTAACTTTGTAATTTTTGAATTAGATTTATATTATACGTCTCTCCAAAGCCACTTTCAAATCCTTTACGACACAATGTGGAATATAAGTGTTCTTTAAAATGTAAACTACTTCCCTAAAGAATAATATTCACATAAGAAAAAACTTAAAAATTTGCAGTTCATACAACTAAAAATGAGAATTTACCTTAAGTGTAATTAAAGAAAGTACAAGTGTCCCTCACGGGATCTCTTAGTATAGGACAGAATAAGACATGATATGACAGACTTGAATAAATTTGGGATGAGTTCCTCATTATTAGAACTCTCACAACTCACAATCAGAAACTCAGAAATCAAACAGATTTAAATAACTGGGAATCTCATACTGCCCCTAAAATACTATCTGAACTAAGGAATGCAAAAATTTGCATAGCAAGAGATCCCTTTATCGCCTAATTTCTTCTTTCCAAGGTGTATAGATCTCTTTTAAGCAAATACTTATAAAGAATAAGGATTAAAGTTTTTACCTCCATTCATTTTAGGATGGCAACTTTTGTTTTGATAAACTACTAATAAATTCAACTTTTGAATACGAAAGAGAAGGATGTATAAAATGTGCAAAGGTTTTCTCTTAGTCTCTTAAAGAGTTTTGTTTTTGATGATGTTGTTTTTGATACAGTCTAGCTTTGTCGCCCAGGCTGGAGTGCAGTCGCTCAATCTCAGCTCACTGCAACCTCTCCCTCCTGGGTTCCAGTGATCCTCCTTCCTCAGTCTCCCATGTAGCTGGGATTACAGGCACCCATCACCATGTTCAGCTAATTTTTGTATTTTTAGTAGAGACAGGGTTTAACCATGTTGGTCAGGCTGGTCAACTCCTGACCTCAGATGATCCGCCCATAAAGAATTTTTTTTAAAAGCCTATTCTCATGGTATTTCACTCAAAATAAGCTGTTTTTCTAAATTTATTTTCTACATAGCTTAGACATTTTAATTTAAAAGTCATTTTAAATAATTTGAGAGTACTTTCCTTAGTAAGTACTTTCACAGTTTAAAAACTACAAATTTTAAAAATTCAAACTTTTAGAGGTCAATCGTGGGAGTTTTTACATTCTTGCAAATATATAATATAAAAAATAATGCAGAGAAGAGTTGGTAAATGGGAGGAGCAGAAAACCTTTAATCCTCCTCTAACTGAGAATTTGCTTTTGCTGTAATTTCCTTTTTTGCCAAGACATGGACCAGAACCACTATACATTTTTCCTTACCAAAATGTTTTTGACCTTCTAAACCTAAATTTGTTATAACTCTTTTGTGAGTAATAGGTGACCTCAAAAATCTAATTAAAGCTTTGAGCTCTGTCCCTAAAAAATACACTAGACACAAAATTCTGCATACACCTCCAGGGGTTTGAAGACTTCCTGATTCCAGTTTGAGAACCTCTGATATAATTAAGGAATTCTGGTCCACTGTTCTAGGTGTGATGATAATACTGTAGTTATGCTTTATAAACAGTTATACAGAAATACTTTCAGTTAAGACATTACGATGTTTGAAAAAGAAAAAAAAAAGACATTATAATGTTTGAGATTTGTTTCAAAATGGTGAGAATACAAGATTGGCCATGAGTTAACAGTAGGTATATAACAGAAACTTAAGCATTCACTGTATTATTCTATGTGTGTAGGTTTAAAATTTTCCAGGCTAAAAATTATTAAATACTTTTAAAGATATATAGATATATTTTTTACATGTGCATGTGCATCTACATACACACATATCTATACACACATACATATACATCTATACACACACATATATAGATCGATATACAGATAACTCTCTACAAAAGACTACTGAAGAAATTATACCATTAAAATAGTTGGTTTTGATATGGCCAGATCACCAGAGTTCAGGCTTCTGCTCTCTGAAAACCCTTCCGAGCCACACGGGGTAACACCTAGGACACTCAGGGTTGAACCCTCTCTGGCATAGTCTGGCTGGCCATGTGGCCACATCCTGTCTTCCATGAATACTCCTTCTTTAAAAGCATACAACCTGTGTATCTTGCACTGAGCCTACCAGAGTGCTGAATAACAATCACTGATCAAACACCAGCACTGCACTATATATATCAAATAAGAAGTGTCAAGAGTAAGTTTAAGGATCCACAATACTCTTCTGAAAAAAACAGGAACTTCATGTTCATTATGTTTACCCTGCATCTTGACAATGTTTTGCTAGTGCACCATGCTGAATAAACCATGAATCTAAATAAATTAGTTTCATATGTAAAATAATAATAAAAACTTTACTGAACAGATGACAACAGATCTCTCTAAAGATCTGAGTGTTAAACATCAGGTTGGACAATATTTCAAACTATCCAGAAGTATTTATGTGTTCAAGAGCACAGGATGGTAAAGAATTTTAAAACGCCACAGATATGTTTTTGGTTTTGGTCATGTAAATCAGTCAAGTACTTACCAAAATCTCAATATGCTAAATACAAAGATAAATCCATTTCCATTTCAATTGCAGTTATAATACTACATGCATAATACTTTTTCTGAGTATATTTCTACTTTAAATTATTTGATCAATGCATATAGGATTCAGAAATTCCTCCATATTCCTACTAAATTATACTTGCCACATCCATAAAGAAAGGTAAGAACAGTCTGGAACATATCGTATGTCAGAAAACCACTTACTTCCATCTTGTACTAAATGCCTTGTAGGATGTTCTCACTGGCAAGGCCAGAGGTTTCCCTTCTGCAAAAACTTGACAAGTAACATAAAGGTCAGAGCACGTCTCTTGGTATAGTCCTGAAAACTTCAACATTGGGTCTTCTAGGACAGCTTTATAGCTCTTTTGTTCTCTCTTCCCTTCCAAGCTTCCTCTGAAAGCACAAGAGTAACAATGTTTTAGGTATGAATTTTTCAAGCATGTACATATATGCATAAGTACTAAAAACGGTTTACCTTTGTGTCAAGGCAATTTTTTGCTACGTAAACAACATTTTCCTGTATAGTAATTTAATGTTACTTTTATATAAGATAAAGGTTTCTTAAAATCCTAACATACCTACTATCAGTCCTATCTTAATCAACACCTTTTTCTATTTTATACTTCTGAATTTTAAACCCTTTCACCAACCCTTAAACTACCCTCTGGAAATCACTAGCTTTCTAGGCCTAGGTTTCACTTTCTTTATTTCAAGTTGACCACTTATTCATCTATTCTTTCAGGAAACATTTACTTATATTAGGCATAGAAGACCAGAAGAAAAGATAAACAATACAGTATTGCAAGAAAATATTAAGTCATTGCTTCTGGGGAGAAAAATTTCCTTTTAACTGCATGTTTTCATTCTACTCTTCACATTTTTTTTTCTAAGCATATGCATTATCTGATCATTTCTTTTAAAAAATTAATAAAAGGTATGTACAGGATACTATCACAGAGGGAGAAACATTTATTACACATCAAGATTACATGAGATACTGTCCCAGGTATTTTATATATTGTTTCTTACATAATTTTTACCATATTCTCATTTTGTAAATGAGGAAACAGAGACTTAAAGATTAAACTCATTATCCAAAGTCACAAAGTAAGTAACAGAGCTGAGAATAAACACTAGGGCAGGGAGGCCAAAGCCAATGTTCTTCCCATTATAGAAAGATAAATCAGTGTCTCAAGGGTACTTAGCCTGGTGTGTGAAAGAGATTTAGTATCCCAGATAGATGTCTTAAACAATCCTGAACAATGCATGAGAGTTAAAGCAAAAGATGCAAAAAGTCATCCCCAAAGGCAAAGAACAGCATATACAAAGGCAAACAGGCAAGATGGTGTGTCTGGAGATGTGAAAGTTGTTTGGTATAGCAAAAGCGTAATAAAGCTCACATAGAGCAGCTACAGATGAAAATGAGAAATAGGGGCTAAACGATGAAACTAAGTAGCCCCCAAGTTCAGTACAGTGCCTGGTCAAAATGAACATTTAAACATCTGTTAATGAAATTATCTGAAGTGAGAGAGTAACATTCTCAGATTTGTATTTGTGATACTTTTGGCAGCAGTGTAAGCGCATACTGGAGAGGTGGAACTGAAAGCAAGAAGACCCTCTTAGAAGACTCTGCACCAAAATAGAAAGGAAAAAGGCATACTAAGGCTGGGCCAGTGAAATAGAAAAAGGAGCATGGAACAAAGAGCAGGCAGATTCAAGACAACTTGGTGAGTGAGTGAGCAGAGAAGGCAAGAGGCGGGTGTCATTAAGACTCAAAGATTTCTTTGTTAACAAATTTGATGGATGATGGTATCACCAAAAGAAGTAAGAGAAAACAGTGATCAGAGTTAGAGGGATAAGCAAATGTTGCACTCAATTTTGGACAAGTGCTTCAGGACATCCAAAGTGACTACGTCTTGTGAGTAGTCTGATATTCAATTACTAAATGTAAGTTGTTATTAATACCATAGAAAAAGAAAAAAAGGGCCAGGTGTGGTGGCTCACACCTGTAATCCCAGCATTTTGGGAGTCTGAGATGGGCGGATCACGAGGTCAGGACTTTGAGACTACCCTGGCCAACATGCTGAAACCCTGTCTCTACAAAAAATACAAAAATTAGCTGGGCATGTTGGCGGACACCTGTAAGTCCAGCTACTCAGGGGGCTGAGGCAGGAGAATCACTTGAAACCTGAAGGAGGAGGTTGCAGTAAGCAGAGATCAGGCCACTGCACTCCAGCCTGGGTAACAAGAGCGAACCTCCGTCTCAAAAAAATAAATAAATAAATACTGAATGTATCTGTATTTTACTAAAGGACCATCTGGGCATGGTGGCTCATGCCTGCAATCCCAGCACTTTGGGAGGCTGAGGCAGGTGGATTACTTGTGGCCAAGAGTTTAAGATCAGCCTAGCCAACATAGCAAAACCCTGTCTCTACTAAATTAACCAAGCATGGTGGTGTGCACCTGTAGTCACAGCTACTAAAGAGGCTGAGGTGGGAGGGCTGCCTGGCCCAGGAGGCAGAGGTTGCAATGTGCTGAGACCATGTCACTGCACTCCAGCCTGGGCAACACAGCGAGACCTTGTCTCCAAAAAAAAGGACCGGTTTTTTGGTTTTTCTTTATTTTTAATGTTCAAACATTTCAAAAAATGCATCCATATATCCAAGAAATCCTAAGCATCAAGACTGAAGGAAAGCCCTTTATCAATACTGATCCTGTATAAACTACTAGTGGTGTATGCTACGGAAAATACCTAAAATGGGTGTATAAAGTATCATACAAAGGTACAGGGTGGTTGTTGACTTATTACTTTCACCATCATCACCACAAACTAAAAAGTAAAGGATTTGTCTGCGAAAAAGTGACTTCTGAAAATAAAACGATCATTCAAAGGTGCATCTGACAACTGAGAAAACTTACTTATCACTGCAGGCCTTTGACCGACACACATTTGTTGAATATTGACTGAACATACATAAGAAACGTTTAATTACAGATGATGCTCTGGTCAATAATCTGTGGTAGCTTTGACAACACTTCTATACGACCACCTTAAAAATGACATAATTTCCAACTTCGTCTTGCCCATCCCTCATTATTATACCAGTTCCATTATCCTCACCTCAAGATACCATGCTCTTGACCTTTACTTGAGTCGTGGTGCCCCAGTTTTCCTACAGACTCTCTTCTCCTATCTTGTTGGTATTTTTGCAACTGGCACCCTCATCTTCGACTTACTCCTAACTTCCTTCCCTGCCTAAATACTGCCATACTACCTAGAAGTTCAACCTAGGCCTCTATCACCTCCCGTGCTGCTAATACTACATCATGTGCTCATCTTATTCTTGACTATCGCATCTGCCTGTGTCTACCGCTCCATAATTTCTGAAGCCTTCATTCCACCCTACAAGCCCTGTTCTAAAATAAAGACCGTCCTCTTATTTAGAACGAGACTTGATTTCTTAATTTGCAAAATAAGACAGCAATAAACTCTCAAAAGGCTGCACAGCAAAAAGCTTCAAAGACTGTAAAATACCGTGGAATTTAAGGGCTATTCCTACCGCTGTGCTTCTGACAGAGACCACGTATTCCAATTCTTCTCCGGCAGAGCCTCTCTCCACGATTCACTCTGGCGTGGCTCCCTGGCTACAGCCCTCCCGTGGCAGCCCCCAGTCTGGTCCTAGAGACCAGTCACCTCCTTTCTCCCCCTCACTCCCAGCAGGCCCTTGCCTCCACGTGCCTACGCTCCAGAAATCCCACTCCCTGTCCCGAGAGTTCTCTTACATCTTAAGCTGGACGTTGATATCCAGGTCACAACTGTAGATGTAGTGAAACTTGTCTGCTTCCCCCATCGCAACGTCCGCAAAGCCACCACTTACAGCAGGAACTTAAGAACAGAAAAAAACAACAGAAATGAACCAGCTGAGCCCCACAACACATGAACTTCCGGTTCCGCCCTCGCCACTACGCAGCCAATCCCCACCTGGAGCGAGTTTCGACGCGACGGAAATCCGCGCCGGAAATATTGCTTCTGCGCATGCGCACAAGTGCCCACCATCTTGCTTCAGGGTAAAGGTATACCGGGAAACGGCTTATCTGGTTACATTCCAGTTTTCCTGTCCTGCCAGCACTTTTTTTTTTTTTTTTTTTTTTTTTAAGACAGAGACGCTGTCACTTGAGCTTGAGCTGTACTTAAAACAATGCAAAAGAAAATGCAATTCAAAAAGAATTATAACAGCTTTCACTGGCTACCGGCTAAACAGGTACAAGCACAAAAATTGAAATTTTGACATGTTTAAATTCCAGTGGACTTCCCAAAAATTGTAGATTTAACCAGTAATTTGCTATTTCAAGCAAAGATTTTCTCTAAAGAGTAGGGAAAGGATTAAATAGAGAACAAATAAATCTGGGTTTCATTTTTGATGTTATCAATATTTATGCTACTTTGGGCACAGTATTTGCGTGAATGTTTAAACTGGGTAGATTCAAATTCAAAGTAGGTTTCAAGCCTTAACCCAACTTAGAACCTAGAGGCTTCCTATAGTAACTTTAGATCACAGATCTCTGAACTGTGTGAGCTTCTATATTTATTTGTATAATTATTATAGTCTCACATTGTAATATTCGTTTCCAATTAGATTGAAAACTCTTAGAAAGTAAGAATAGTGTGCCATTTACTTCCGTGTATTGCCCCCCCTTGCTGTCTAATACATTACTGAGTTTAATACTTCCTACTTATCATTAATGATATTGAATGAAAGTCTCCATTTTCTTTTTTGAATTAATTATTTTTTTTATTTTGAAGCACTGTGGTTTGTAGACAGTCTCCATTTTCTATGTATTTCTTTCTCTTTTTTTTGAGTCGGAGTTTCTTTCTTGTCGGCCAGGCTGGAGAGTGCAATGTTGGGTTCTCAGCTCACTGAAGCCTCTGCCTCCTGGGTTCAAGTAAATATCTTCCCTCAGCCCCACAAGTGGCTGGGATTACAGGCACCCGCCACTCTGCCCAGCTAATTTTTGTAATTTTAGTAGAGGCAGTGTATCACCATGTTGGCCAGGCTGGTCTCAAACTCCAGTGATCCACCGGCATCGGCTTCCCAAAGTGCTGTCTATGTCTTGATTTATAAGTGCTGCATTTTAAGGTGGACATCACTAGAGTATGTGCAAATTAGAATACTGAGGGATTCAAAAAATAATATTTCAAAAAAAGGGTCAAAGGTGTGGAGCTGTTTAACCTGGAAAGGGAAAAAGTGGCTGATGCACAATGCTTTACACAAACTAAGTTCTCAAAAATATTTATGGAAGCAAGAAAAGGATTTGGGTAGAATAAAGAAAAACATGATAGTTATCCTCCTGTAATTTAAAATTGAAACAAAAAGAGAGCACTTCTGATTTTTTCCTAAGTATAACTGCCACCAATGGTTGGAACTTAGAGGAAATGTAATTTCAACAAACAATACAAACTGAACTAAATTTCAGAGCCATTCAACAGTAACACAATTGTCACAAGTGCTCTGTTTAAGGCATAACTCCAGCAATGAGTGTGAGGTTTCATGTGAAACCTCGATCTGGAATAAAATATTGACAATGTGTAAAGGACTAAATTATCCTATCCCACTGGTGAATAAATTACTTTCATTATATAATGGTATTTCATGTATAAACCTAAGATAATATGATATACATATACAATGAAACAAATTTATAAACTAAATATACAAATATCAAATTAACAATCTTTATATAATAGATAGTGGGGTTTTTTGCTGAAATTCTATTGCTTGCAAAGTGATTATGGAATATAGTGTTGACTACTCTTACAGGACTGATCCTTTGAAATTCAGCACGTCTATACTGCTGTATTCTACATGGCAATTCATTTTTCCAGCCTCTTTTTTCTATTCAAATAACTATGAATTCTTCATTAGTATAACCACCATAAAGTCTTTGGCTTTATCTTGGCTAACACACATCTTTTTGTTTTAAGCCTCACTTTGTCCTTTTCTCATTAGCTCATAACAATTAAAGTAATACTGATTGTTCCCAAAACAGATACAAACACAACACAGGTAAAGGCATGAAAATCAAATGTCCCTACTTAGTTATAACATATTCATACACAGAATCCAAGATACATTAAATTTTTAAAGATTATCAGGAGAAAAAAATTAAAAATGTATTATAGAGGGATCTCAGAAAACTTGACTGTAATTGTATTAAATACATTAATACATCAAGAAAAACTAATGTGCCAATAAGGCACAAGATTTTGGTAAGTCATGGAAGCATGGAAAGAGTTATAGAAACCAAAACTGGTAGTGCCTTTTGTACCATAAGTCAGGGAAGTGTTGGTTGGTAGTCTTGAGTACCAGAATTCAGTTAGTAAGGCCATCTCTATAAGGGGAAAAGAAGCCTTAGGCATCTTATCTTTTAAAAAGAGGAATGATTTTTTTCCTTCCCATGTGAATTTTTCATGAATCATGAATGTAACATACACTTATAATTATGGGATACAATTTGCATTGCAAGAGCCCACAGTGGCCTGTCTGTGGAAAAATAGCTTATAGAATTAGATGTTTTTTTCTTTTTTTTTTTTTTTTTGAGATGGAGTCTGGCTGTGTCTTCCAGGCTATAGTACAGTGGAAAAAATCTCAGCTCACTGCAACCTCTGCTTCCTGGGTTCAAGCAATTCTCCTGCCTCAGCCTCCTGAGTAGCTGGGATTATAGGCACATATCACCCACCCAGCTAATTTTTATATTTTTAGTAGAAATAGGGTTTCACCATGTTAGTCAGGCTGGTCTCAAACTTCTGACCCTGTGATCCACCCATCTCAGCCTCCCAAAGTGCTGGGATTACATGTGTGAGCCACCATGCCTGACCCTTCTTGGTGCTGTAGGCCACTCCAGTGATTATTATATGATCCCATATTTAACTTCCTTTCGAGTTGCAATTTTGGCTTTGTGCTTCTTTTGTCATCTTGTTTCAATTTCTATTTTAATTATTCTAGTAACCAGTTTTAATGATGGCTTAGAAATGTGTTGATTGGTGTGTACCTACGCAACTGTCTTGCATGCTCTGCTCATGTACCCCAAAACCTAAAATCCAATAAAAAATTTAAAAAAAATGTGTTGATTGTGCTCCATTTCTTAAATTTTTTCTTTCTTTCTTTCATTTTTTCCTGAGACAAAGTTTTGCTCTGTTGCCCAGGCTGGAGTGCAATGGTGCAATCACAGCTCACTCCAGCCTCAACTTCCTAGGCTCAAGCAATCCTCCCACCTTAGCCTTCTGAATAGCTGGGACTACAGACAGGCACCACCATGCCTGGCTAATTTTTTAATTTTTTATAGAGTTAGGGTCTTACTATGTTGCCCGGCTGATCTCAAACTCCTGGGCTCAAGCAGTCTTCCCTCCTCAACCTCCAAAAGTTTTGATACTACAGACGTGAGCCACCATGCCTGACCTCCGTTTCTTCAATTGCCCAGGACTAACATAATGATAATCAGGTTTATTTTTGCCAGTTTTTATGACCCAATTTATTCTCTTTGCTTGGAAATTTTTAAAAATGCACTTAGTGCTTTACAAAGCAACCATCTATTATTGAGCTCCCATCAAGAATAAATGTGTATGATACTATGAGATTAAATTTATCTCATAATTTCTTATTTCTAATTAAAAAATGCCTTTGTAAGTTTTCTAATAACCATGTTTTAGAACTCAGTCACATGATAGAACAGACAACAGTGCCAAGACACTTGAAAAATCCTAACTCATAATTCAAAACTCTTGGTCATTTCTCAGGTGGCAATGTGAAAAAAGGTGGGCTTGATGAATATTTATATATGATCCTAGTGCAGGAACCCCCTAGTGCCTGGGGGATTCATTCAAAAAGATAATTTATATTAGCTGCAAAAGGGAAAGAATAAAAACATAAGTTATTCTGAAAAAAAGTATACTTGCATATGTGTTCCTTTACAATATCTCTGTTATATAACAATGAAGCTCCCCTCTCAACGCCACAAGTGAGAAAAGAAAACTTAGAGTCGAATGATGTCACAGTCAAACATCTCAGCTATAAGGGAGGAATGAGGTCTTACCTCCCCTAGGAAGTATGGTTAGGTCTTCTGATATGGTTTGGCTCTGTGTCCCACCCAGATCTTATCTCTAATTGTAATCTTCTCACGTGGATCGAAGGAGGTGCCCATTATCCCCATGCGGTTGAGGGAGGGAGGGGATTGGATTATGGTGGTTTCCCCTATGCTGTTTTCCTGATAGTGAGTGACTTTTCATGAGATTTGATGGTTTGTAAGTGTTTGCAAGATTTTCTGCTCCTCTCTCTCTCTCTTGCTGCCCTATGAAGAAGGTGTCTTGCTTCCTCTTCATCTTCCACCATGATTCTAAGTTTCCTGAGACCTTTCCAGCCACGTGAAACTGAGTCAATTAAAACTCCTTCCTTCATAAATTATCTAGTCTCAGGTATTTCTTTATAGTAGTGTGAAAACAGACTAATAATAGGGGTTTCTTATTGTATAAGCAGTAATTATGTTTAAAATTAAGACACTTTCATTTTTTAAAAAATCTTTTCTGTTACATACAGCTGAAAGCATATAATTCCTAATAGTGTTAAAAGGCATTGCATGTTCTGGCTCACGTGGTTCAAGCTCTTTAGAGTTAGTTTAATCAGGAGCTCTAAGTCCTGTCAAGTTTAGACCTTTTAAAAGCTGTGCTAGGCTCTGGGAAAGACTCCATTTTTCTCCCTGACTCCTACCAAAGGACTTCTGTTAGATGCATTACAAACCTAAGATCGCTGTTTTTTTTTTTTTTTTTTTTTTTTTTAGACAGAGTCACTTTGTCACCAGGCGCCAGGCTGGATTGCAATGGCATGATCTCAGCTCACTGTAGTCTCTGCCTCCCGGGTTCAAGCAATTCTCTTGCCTCAGCTTCCCGAGTAGCTGGGACTACAGGCACGCGCCACCATG